ACTTTTGGCCGGCGTGCCGTAGGTTGCCAACCCCTGGGCTAGGGACACCATTCCTGCCCATCCTGGCTAATTGCCATTGATGGACCTATCCTCCATGAACTTATCTAGTTCTTTTTTTACCCTATCATAGTCTTGGCCTTCACAACTTCCTCTGGCAAGGAGTTCCACAGGTTGACTGTGTGTTGTGTGAAGAAATACTTCCTTTTATTTGTTTTAAGCCTGCTGCCTATTAATTTCATTTGGTGACTCCTCGTTCTTGTGTTATGAGAAGGAGTAAACAACACTTCCTTATTTACTTTTTCCACACCAGTCATGATTTTATAGACCTCTATCAGATCCCCCCTTCGTCGTCTATTTTCCAAGCTGAAAAGTCCCAGTCTTATTAATCTCTCCTCATATGGAAGCCGTTCCATACCCCTAATAATTTTTGTTGCCCTTTTTTTGAACCTTTTTTGAGCCTACAGGTTCATCACAGCTGTTAGCACAGAACAGGAACCCCCCAGGAATAGGTCAAGTCCTCCCAACCCTTCCCAGGAAGGACTGGGGCTCTTGGGAGGAGGTGCAACCAGAGTGAATTTGCCTAATAACCCCCCCCCCGATGTTCTTATAGCCCAGAGGAGCTGTGCTTCCCCTTCAGCATGGAATGAGATACAATCCCTGACTTGTAATGGCACATAAAACAGTATGATCTCCCACAGACACTGCAGGAAATTGCTGGATCCGTCACATGGACACACCAGAAGCTACACAGGGCCCAGGACGTGACCAGACATCACAGGAGCCATCAGTGTCTGGGCCTGGCTGCCCCCCCTTCTCCCCCCAGGTGGGAGGCGAACAGTGAGTAACAGGTACAAGTGTCTGTCCCACCAGGTCCCAGGAGCGCCCAGAGCTGGTGCCTGTCTTCTGGCTGTGTGTGCGCAGCAGGATCGCCGGATGGACGCTCACCCAGGGAGGTAACGGGCAGGATGGCTGCTAAGAAAACAGTCCTCTTCAGTCCAGTCTCTGTTCCAGGCAAATAGACATTGGCGGGTTTCCAAGCCAGTCCCAGTTAGTGTTTCTCATCCTGGCTCCTCCATAAGCTCCACCCAGACTGCACCTGGCTGGGCTGTCCAGCACTCAGAACATGCAGCTCTTGGGTCTTTTCCACAGCCAGGGCTGGCAGAGCCCACCCAAAAGTGAGGGTGGGCGGGGGCCCTACCTCTGCCCCTCCTCTTCCCCCCAAGGCTCTGCCCCTGGCCAAGCTGGAGTTGGCTGGGGAGAATAGGCCCCTGTACCTCCCGGGGTGTGTGGAGGGGCCAAGAGCAGCCCCTGGCCTGTGTCCCCGCCCACCAGGCCTCCTCGCCCAGGGCGTGTGGAGGGTCCGTGGCTCCCTACAGCTGCCCGCACGGCTCTCCCTGACCTGGCTCCGGCCAGGGGTCAGGGCCTTGGCAGGGAAAGGAGGTCAGGGGTGGGGACAATGGCAAAAAGTGGATAGGCCATGGCCCCCCTCTTCCAGCGCCCCTGGCCCCAGTTCCCTGCTGCCGGACAGGCACTCCTTCCAAGTAGAGCCCAGCCAGGAGCCCTGGGTCAGAGCCCTTCCCCTGGCATGTCTGTTTGCGGGGGCTGATGGAAATTGTAGTCTCTGCTTGGCAGATCCATCCTTAAAGGGCCAGCCAGCCTGGGACAGTGAGAGCTGATGGCAGCTGTGCAGGAGAGGGCAGCAAAGTTTGGTTTAAAACCGGAGCTGAGCTGAAAGACCTTTGCTAGCTTGCAACATCTGTGAAATGATAGGAAGGAATCCAGAGCCAGAAAGCCATTGATTCCCCGCTCCTGGAGTTGCCAAGGGCAAGTGAGAAGGTCTTATTAGAGGGGGAGATTCCCAGAAGGACTTACAAGAACTTTTATAAAAACATTACAGCTTTCAAGTTAGTTTTAGAGGGTCAGGGTAACTCAAGGCACCTGGTGTGGCAAAGATATAAACAATATTGTCCCAATGCAATGAAATAAACAAGCTTAAACATCTTAATATATACCTCTTACACACACCAGCTGAGTTTCTCTCTCTCTCTCTCTCACACACACACATAGTTCTATATATCACAGGCTTGGCTGGTGTTGATCTTCAGAATACGATCCCTTTTCTCCTTTCTTTCATGGTTTGAGCAGTGAAATAGTTCACAGTGTGGCCAGTTAGAGTTTTATTTGCAGTTACACTCAAGCCCCTGGAAAGCCCCTTGACACTGCCAGAGCTACCGACAGTGGGTATATATTATAGACACCCCCTTTGAGGCCCTTCAAAATCATCCCGAGTGTTTGAGTTCGTGCCCACTGGAATGAATGGGGGCAATTCACACCTCAAAGCCAAGGGGAGGCTGCAAGTAAGTCCCAGCACTCAGGGCAACTGGACTAGCCGGGCCATGGCCCAAACTAAAAAAGACTTGTAGGAAGTAGCCCAGAGAAGCAGGTCTTGACTCCCCGCCGGGAAGTAGACCCATCTCCCCTGTTTAGGGGTTGATTTACCCACAGCCCTGGGCTGGGACACGGTAGAGACAGAGGGTCTAGGTCCCACTACCCTTTCCCCGGCCTTACAGTCTGAAAGCCTAGTGATCTAGCCACGAGGCCACCCCGCCATGGAAGACTCTATCACACTTTGTAACTCATTTTTGAAGGTTTTCTCCACACCCACAGCAGCTAGAGATTTACTTTTGTTAAAAAAAAGGAGAGAGAGAGATTGAAAAAGAGACTAAGACACTCTGGCAGACAAATGAGAAGTCTGCTCAAAAAGATTTATAAAACTAAACTTTTTTTTGTAATATGCAAAATACAGGTTTAATCAGCAAGAGTGCGGAAGGGCCTGTATAATTCACACACAGCTTTCCAGTAATGCAAAGGAGCAGAGCTGAGACCTCTAGGACACATGAATTAAGCTAAATGGCTATAAGGCATTTGGGAACCAGTTTAAGGTGTCCTCACAGAGGTTTGCTCTAGTCTAACTAAATCAAATTAAACAGGAATTTTGGTTAAACTGGTGCAACCTTTGCCTGTAGATCAGGCCTGAACTTGGCATCATGCTGTCAGGAGTGACTCAAGGGCCTGAGTACCAATCTCAGGGCAAACTGCCAGAAACAGGGCACAAACCCTGGATTGGCTGGGAGTTCTATGTTTAGATTTCACCAACCAAGTGTCAAGTGTAAACCCCTCAGGCACCATAACAGCCCAATCATGGAGTCACAGACAGTCCCCTGGGGTACCCTGATCGATTTTGCCACCCAGGCAAACCTGCCTTTATGATAGATGGTCACTTACAGCGCAAATTCCCCTTTATTCGACATTGGTGAGGCCACATCTGGAGTACTGTGTCCAGTTTTGGGCCCCACACTACAAGAAGGATGTGGAAAAATTGGAAAGAGTCCAGCGGAGGGCAACAAAAATGATTCGGGGGCTGGAGCACATGACTTATGAGGAGAGGCTGAGGGAACTGGGATTGTTTGGTCTCCAGAAGAGAAGAATGAGGGGGGATTTGATAGCAGCCTTCAACTACCTGAAGGGGGGTTCCAAAGAGGATGGAGCTCGGCTGTTCTCAGTGGTGGCAGATGACAAAACAAGGAGCAATGGTTTCAAGTTGCACTGGGGGAGGTCCAGGTTGGATATCAGGAAAAACTATTTCACTAGGAGGGTGGTGAAACACTGGAATGCGTTACCTAGGGAGGTGGTGGAGTCTCCTTCCTTGGAGGTTTTTAAGGCCCAGCTTGACAAAGCCCTGGCTGGGATGATTTAGCTGGGAATTGGTCCTGCTTTGAGCAGGGGGTTGGACTAGATGACCTCTTGAGGTCCCTTCCAACTCTGATATTCTATGATTCTATGATTCTATGAAATCACAGCAATATTTGGGTTATTCCAAGTCCCAAAGAACCCATCACTTACTCCACGTCAATTGCACGTTAGATCTTGCACCAAAGACAATGCTTGTGGCCAATCCTATAATAAACCCACTAAGGATTTATTAATTAAGAAAAGGACAGAAGAGTTCCTTATTTACAAGATTAATACAGGTAAACATACATGCACAAAAGGTGTGTGGAACTGGAGTAATAGGTCACCTCCATATGCTCCTTAGGGCCAGGGCCGGTGCAAGGATATTTTGCGCCCTAGGCAAAACTTCCACCTTGTGTCCCCCCTTCCTCTGCCATCCCGTCCTCCCGGAGCATTGCTTATTATAAACTTTCAGAAATGAATACTGCATAATGTGGCATTGTTCATTAGAATTAATACAAGGGGGTCAGAGGAGATGATCACAACGGTCCCTTCTGGCCTGGGGCAACCTATGAGCAAGGAGGAGACTGAGAATGCCCCCAGCTCGCAGGGTCTCTAAACGTTCCCAGGCTCTGCGTACTTCGCCCTCTGGCGGGGACCAAGGGGCAAGGAGGGCAGAGCCGGGCTCTCCCAGGAGCAGGTGAGGATCTCCCTGGGGATCAGGGCTGGCTCCCTGCATTGGCACAGTGTCACCGGCGGGGGGGGGGGTCAGTGTTTGGAAGCGGTACCTGCGCCAGCCTTTTCTCCTCCATCGCGCTGCCCCAGGAGCCCTTTCCCCTTTCCCTCGCCCCAGGAGGCGGCTGCGCCCGGCCCCAGGCGCGGCACGTTGGAGGGCGAAGCTCACCTGAGCTCAGCACCGCGTCCAGGAATGAATCTGAGAAAGGTGCCGCAGAAGCTCCTAGCCCTGCTATTGGCTCTGCCAGATACACCTCTGCGTTCCTATTGGCTGATCAGAGAATAGCCAGCCCAGGGAGGGGAGGGGGGAAGAGTGAGCCAAATTACTCCTGACTGCTGAGGGGAGGAGGAAGAGGAGGAAGCAGTGTTGCTCACACCTAGGGTACGAAACTCAGGGGAGGGGCTTCTAAATGGCATCCTTGTTTCTCAGTGATGCTATTTTGATTTTTTCTCCTCTTCCCCCAAAGCCTTTGCCAGGACTCTTTGGGTATCTTCAGCAAGGTCTCTTATAAAGTTATCCAGCATAATCATTGTTGCGCCAAAAGAAACGTGTGCAGAAATCAGTGACCCAAGCACTGGTATAAAATTCTTGCCCAAGAAAGACAGATATTTCACTCCCCCACCTGCGGCATTTGACAGCAGTGTCAGTACAAGGTCAATTGTTATTTCTGTGGCCAGTGGAGACTTTATCACGGCCTTCAGATCTTCCTCCCGCTTCCCAACCTGCTTAGCGAGTGCAGCAAGGGACTCAGAATTCAGGCCAAAGTCCTTGCAGTAATCTCTCATGCAATCCACCATGATAGCAATGTCAGCAACAAGAGAAAGGCCTGGAAGAGGAATAGCAGCAAGACCACCTGACAAGATAGCTGGTTTCCATGTGGTCTTCTTCATGGCTTCTTTCTTTTCTTGCAGGGTCTGGTTCGAGATATTAAGCAGCTTTTGCCGTGTATCATGATAGGGGAGCACCTTTTCCAGAGTTTCCTTCAGGAGGGGGAAATCGTGCTTGTCAGATTGCCAGTTGGAGAGGAGAAAAACCTGAGGATCATTCACCCCTGCTCTCTGCAGATGGGTTTTGCAGTCATCTCTGATCTGCTGCAGGATTCTCGCCTCACTATAGATTTTTTTCCTCCTTCCAGCATCCAAGTCCTTGTCCACTTTGGAGCACACAAAATAAAACTTCTTCTTCTGCTCACGAATCTTCTGTGCAAGGCTGGCATGGATATCTTTGAAGTGTGTATCTGTGATGATAATGAAAAAATCGTACTTGTAACATGCAACAGTCAACTCGAATTTGGCTGATGGAAAATTTGGCGTTCCGATTCCTGGAAAGTCCCATAAGAAAACATTAGGGTTCTCAGGATGTGAATATGGGGTTGGCTGCATTGTTGTTTCCACCACCCCGACCTCAGCGGGTCCTTCATCGTCATCACCTAAGCCCCGAAAGGCATTGACAAACGATGACTTTCCGGAGCCTGCGTTCCCGACGACAGCAATGTGGAAACATCCAAATGACTTCATCATCTTCTGTGCTATCAAAGCTGCTTTCTTAAGGTTTCCTTCTTGGACAGCAGCTTTGAATTCGCCTTCGCTCATAGCGGGAGATTTATTCCCAACCACGACTGGCTCAATTGCTGGACTTTCACCAAGACTTCCTGGGAGCTGCTCAATCGACCTCAGCTGCCTGCCTTTGAAAAGGAGAACAAATATTTCAGTTATTAAAAATAAATGGAATGAATCTCCCGTATGACCCTGCCGTTATATCTACCATACGTCCTCAAGACCTAGGGCCAGATCCTGGAGCTACGGCTAATTGACCCCAGCTGGGATCTGCTCCTTAATTATTTTATTATTATTACTATGTGAGGTCCTACATGCAACTTGGGCAGGATCCCGGGCTCTGGGCCCCGCGGGGGACACGGACCAGCTGCAGATGTTTTATTGCAGTGTAGACGTACCCACTGAGCCATAGGCGCCGACTCTGTGGGTGCTCCGGGGCTGGAGCACCCACAAGGAAAAATTGGTGGTTGCTCTGCACCCACCGGCAGTTCCCCGCCTAGCTCACCTCCACCTCCGCCTTTTCCCCTGAGCACACCATGTGCCTACTTTTCCCCCCTAGGTCCCAGCACTTGTGCCTTGAAACAGCTGTTTCA